GTGCTCGGGGGCTTTTAGCATTTTTTTCCCCCTTTCTCTTTTTCTTTTATTATTATTATTATTTTCTATTGGGTTTTTTGGATTTTTTTTTTTTTTTTGGGATTTTTTTTCTCTCTTGCGGAAAGGGGTTTGATTTTGGACTTCCAAAAGAAAGTTGTCCCTTTTGATGATTTTATAATGAGAGGTTGAGTGATGAAGACAAAAAGAGCAAAGAAAGGAGGTTTGGTTTTGCTCTACATTTTATTTTATTTTAATATATAAATAAGGTTTTGTCAGAAATAGCATGAAAGTATGGGCTCATGGGGGTAAAGGTTTACTAGATATTTGTCCCTCACGTATTTCACAATTTTACATTAGTCCTTTGCATCATTGAAATTGCTGGTTGGTACCTCGTATCATGAGGATGCTTGTAATCTGGCCCCTGTAGTTAACTTTTATTGTAGCTATCTAACTTTTCACACTGAAGTTTCAGTTTCAAATCTGACTTTTTACGTGTGAAGTTAACAAAATTACATGTGAAAGTCGAGAAAAAAAACGTTGTGAAGATTAAACTTGACACTTTTGTATCAACTAAAGGTCAATTTTTAATTAATTAATTTTATTTATTTATTTATTGGAAGAAAGAGAAGAGAAAGAGGAGGAGGGACGGAGGAGGAGAGAGGAAGGTGGGACATAATTGAAACGAAGGAGAATGAGGGAGGAGGTGAGATTGAGTCTTTTGTATTACCTTTAAAGCTTATATGTTAATAGCTAAACTAGAGTCAACATTTAACAAAACACACTAAGTTAACAAAATTCATGTCAAAGTTAACAAGAAGTATCGTTACCGATAAGCTTTAATGTTTTTATGTTAACTTTATGTATTTAATGTTAACTTTGTCAGCTCTATGATAATTTGAAAGTTTAAATATCTCTAAACCTCTTATGTTAACTTTATAGGTTCACAAGGCTTATGGATTCATAAGGAAGGGAGGAGGAGATCAAACAACAGAGGAAATAGAGGAGGATGAGGGAGAAGATGTTGATGAAGAGGAAGAAGAATGATAGCTTGGGATATAAGAAAAGGGGGTCAGAATAAAAGAAACCTTGGCTGAGGGGGTCTGGAAAAGTTTGATCTTTTTCAGAGAAAGTAAAAAAAAAGGTATCCTCATGATAATCAATCTGATATTCTAAGACGTATTTACCATTATCAAAGGGGGAGAAATCAATTGAATTGAAAAAAGGTTGACAACAATGATAATCAATCTGATAAATTTAATCTAGACTTATCCACACCTATAGTGCATCTGATAACAAAGGCAATATGAAGGGTTTTGATGTATCACTTATTGCTATACTAGACTCTTCTCTTTTTAAAACTTCATCTCCAATCAATGGAAAAATAAGGACATAATCATGTTTGATATTTAATAACAAATCTATATTTCTGAATAATATAAATATAAATGCTATCTTTCATTTACTTATTACACATTTTACACATTACAGTAATGATTAGGGAATCTATTGTTCCGATTTTGAAGAAGAAGATTGAGACAGAGAAAAGTGATGACAAATTAAGGGAATTTTATTTATATCATTAGAGATGTCGAGAGTTAGAGAATATTTTAATTAGATTTGAGATGCATCAGTTGCAAAATAATGTGTTCAAACACGAAACACTTTTATATCCTTAATTACATACAAGTTGATTTCTGGTATTGGTGACCTACTTCAATTATTCATTTAATATGCAAAAATGTGCTACTAGATGTTATCTTTTATTACTTTTATAGCTTATATAGTTAATTTTCTATACTTCTAATTATGAATAAACTTTGATTCTTTATAATTTTTTAAAGAGAAAGTTCGAGCGAGAAACCCTAGTTATGAACTATATTGATATAAAAAGAAGAAAAGATACATCAAAGCTTAAGAATCAGTGGTTTCACCAACCAGCGTGATTGAATATTATCCCAATTTAAAGATTCATAAGGAAAAGGAGGGGACCATTGCCGTCACTTCCCACATAATATGGATCAAATAGAGGGTTAATACCCCCTTCATGAGTTAATTAGAGAACAAGGCCTTAACTCATCAAAACATAACTAGCAACCAAAATTTTATATACAAAAAAGAAAAGAGAAAAAAGAAAAAAGAAAAAAGAAAGAAGAAGCACTGATGGGCTTCTAAAAACATGTAAAATTTGTCCATCTCAACATCAACAAAAAGCACCAAGAGTAGACAAAAATCTCGATAAGTTGAGCTAGAATTTTCCATATTATCTCACTTATCTTCCTCATGACGTGCAGAGTAAGATTCACGTGTTATATGGTGTAGGCTATCTAAAAATGACTGCAGATAACTGATCCCCATCAAACACCAATGATGAAAGTTATAATCTGACGGTTTCCAGAAGACTACAATTTTAAAAACTTTCATGTAGATCGATGAAAACTCTAATTCAACAGCTTTCACAATCAACATCGGGAGTTACAATCTGACAACTCTTATATTTTTAAGGAGCCAGTATGAAGATTACAAGATGACGATCTTTACAACGCTCTAACAAAAGAGACTACAAATTAACGGTCTTCTTAAATCAAAACGTAGATATTTCTCAAACCGTAAGGAATTCGAAATGAACGAGAGCAAACCGAACCCTTCGGGTCAGTTTGGTCGGCTCCATCTCATCGAGATAGTCGATTTTCATATATAATTCGTCCAATTCTGACTTACAGTTTGAAAGTTATGACATGTTCTTCGCAACAAGTTATGTTCTGAAGTCCGTCTGCAAGATTAGACTTCGCCTGAACATTGGACTTAGCCTGAAGCTCACCAAGCTCGCCTGAGGCTCGCCTCTGTGTTTAGAGTCAAAATGCAGAGATCATCTTTGCATCCCAATAACAAAACGAAGAGTTAGTGCCTGTGTTCCAGACTCAAAACGTAAAGTTCGTGGCTGCGTTCCAGACTCAAAACGCAGAGTTTGTGGCTGCGTTCCACACTCAAAAACGCAGAGTTCATCTCTGCATCCCAACAACAAAATGCAAAGTTCGTGACTACGTTTTTAGGCTCAAATACAGAGCCCAACTCTACGTCCTAGGTCCAGAACGCAGAATCCGTGCCCAGAACGTAATTCTTGCATTTGACTCGTTCAAACACGAGCTTAACAGTTTTAAAACCATTTCCCACGATTTGAGGGGACCACTCCCCCACTTAAGAGCGAATTAAGGGGGCAGTTACACCCCTTAATCTCTATAAATGGCAGAAAACTCAACTGAGTTCAGGATCTCTAATTGATCCTCTTTTCGGCAGCTAAAAAAAGGAGATCTTCGAATTGGGGGGCTCTTTTTGGACATGGGAGCACTTTTGGATCTGGGAGAGATCGGCATTCACCCTTGGAGATCTGGGATCATTCCTCGGCAACAGAGATTTTTGGAGCTTTCTTCTTTGGCTTAAAAACCGATTTGGGTTAGATCTTAATTAACTCTTTCATTGAGTTTTAAACTCGCACCGAGTTCCTAAACTCGTTAAGAGTTATTCTTAAACTTGCCACGTAAATTCTCCTCAACCTCAAGTCAAGAGGATTCAACCGTGTTCCACGAGTTTAAGCATTCAGATCATCAACGGAAAGCAAACCTGACACGAACATCGAGGGAGACATCTCATCAACACCAAGAAGAATCCAGGTTAAACAAAGGGAATGATCTCCATCGACCCTTCTCTCTTTTGTAAATCGGGAAAACGATCGAGAAGATTTGTAATTTACATAGTGCTAGAATCTAAAATAATAGCCCTCGATCTTCATCACAATACTAGAGTTTTCATATAATAGTTTAGTCCTTTGGTATTGTATCAGAGCACTCCAAATTTAAATCTTGTTGGCTGCAAATTTCTAAACTACAACCCTACGTTTCTCAACCCTCACTACAATTTTAGAATTATGATTCAATGTTAGGAACTTTAAGATGGTATCAAAGCAGCACATGTTCGACTCCTCATCGGCTATGCGACTCCAGATCTCAACCAATAAAAAGGATGTTCAAGCTATAGGGACATGTTAGAATATAAAATTACAACCCTCAAGCTTCATCATAATTTTAGGGTTTTAGTGTAGTGGCAGGATTCTTTGACACATATAAATAAATAAACCACTATTTTCCCCATTTATTGGGAAGAAAAGGAAACAAAAGGAAAATTAGGATTAATCCAACTGCTAGTTTAAAGAGGAGGTATGCAGTTTAGTTTTGACTGGTTTAATTCCAGATCAGAGAGAGCAGATCAAATCGTTTAAGGTCAAATTACTTTGGCCTACCAAAATAAGTTTAAAGTTCTACTCTAGTTATTTACCACATCAGGGTCAGGACTTAATTTGATTTTGTTCCACTGTACAATTTAACTAGAGTTGCCAAATAGATCGTAAGGATCAGTTAAACAACTACATTAAAACATGTTTATCGAGATCAATTTTGACCCAAATTTATAATCTTAGTCTGACAAATTTACTATTTGGACGTAAAACGATTTTAATCTGACTTAATAATCATACCAGAACCAATCTCGAGGGTGCCGGTTTAAAATAAATAGATCATATATAATTCGAAAAATGTTGCGAGAAAGAAAAGAAAGCAATCAAATTGAATCTTACTCAAGCGTGAGAGGGGAAAAAAAAAGAAGAATGTTAGTTCTAAACTAGTTTTAATTGAAAACAAATTTATACAGGTTTAGTGTGCAAATTACCAGGCTTACCCCACGCATTCGCCCGCCCAAATTCCTAAACCCTTTAAAAGCCCTCTCCCCTCTTTCAAATTCTCATTCCTCCCTCAAATCACGCAGAAATCATAAAAAATCACAGGGAAAAAGCTCACGGAAAATATCAAGACAGAGAAGAATCAATGACGCTCCTCTGCTTCTTGCTCGATCTCCGTACAATCCCCCCTCCACTACTCAGCGATCTGAAGCAGGTAAGCGATCTCCAGCTGGATCGGTCGATCGATCGTCTTCCTTCTCGATTTCATCCTATTTTTTGATTTCTCTCTGTGTTTCGGCGCCAGAGCCTGTTGCAGCTCGCGAATCTCTACGCGGTGACTCGTGGAAAGGATCGATGCGAGGATGATATCCCGATGCTTCGAGATCTGATCGGGTTATGCTACATCGAGAATTCTCCATCCTCTTCATCTCCTGAGGTCCGCAAATTTCGATTTGCTTTCTTTATATGTTTGGATCTAGGGTTTTAAGAGTAATTGTAGCTTCTTCTTGTTCGTGTACTTTACTTTGTAGAGGAATTGTGGAGATATCTTGACTCTTTTGAGGTCTATTATGTTTCTTCTTTGTGAAAATTGAGCACTAAAACAGTGAATTTTAGCATCTGATGGTGTGTTTGGATGCATTTTAACCTTTGGCCAAAAACATTTTCTTAAGTTTTTTTTAAACAATGGAATTGTTAGAATGTAGGATATAGATATAAGAAACATGGAAAAGAATGATAGTTTGGTTAGCTTGTGATAAAGGTAAAGAAATAACATAAATTGAACTTTCTATAACACAAGTTGCACTGAAGTTAAATGTTTTATTATTTTCCATTATCCGTACTTCAGTCGGTTAAAATTTTCTCTCTTTAATTGGTATAGCAAGAGGGCTCGGAGTTAATTTGCTTGTTCCCGTGGCCTAAATGTTATGAGTCTGTCCAAGGGCCTATACCTAGTTGGGTATCGAGGATATTAGACAGGTTCCTACCTCCTTCTAGAAGCATGTTATTTCTGAAGTTATTTTCACATGTTCATTGCTTGTATTCAAGTAGCCATTAGCCAATATATCGATTAGTATATCCTTTTCTGAGGCTTTCTGCAAAACAAAATGGTCTCACTTTTCAGTATCCTTTACCACTTTTTATGATTTTTGGGCAATGTATCATGAATTCATGACTATCCCGATAAATCATGTGAAATTTAACCCAAAAAAATGGGTTAAAATGTTGTAATACTGATTTTAGGCTTCTATTTCTTTTAAAAAAATCGTATGGACTTATGGTTCAGTCAAGGTCTGAACCCAAGCAAGTATACGCTTATGTAAATAACCAGAAAGAAAAAAATTGGTTCAATTAAGACCAAATCCTTTTGTAAAAGTGTTGTAAAAGATATATTCCCGATATTCGCCATCCAATATGAAATTTTTCCTCCGATATCCCCGACATCAAACATTTAGTACACTGAAAGCAGCTACATTTAAAGTGCCATAGATATCACGAAGTTGGGAGTTTTGGCACATGATACTGTAGATTATCAATATATGGAAGATTGTTATTTCAAATCAATGCTAGGATTTGTCCTTGTATTTAGCTAATCTTAGTTTGATTGAATTGAGATTTGACTTTGATGGGAAAGAAACGATTTCAATTGGAACTAAATTCTAATTGAAGGCTGGTTGAGATTTGATAATCCAGTTCAAAGTAAGGAACCCTATATGAACTCAAGAGAGGAGAAAAGCTCTATAAACACGCATTGAGAGATTCACTGTAAATAACGCTGTTAAAAAAAATTCATAACTATAAGGGAGGTTGAATAGGTGTAGAGAAGAAACATATGTGTAAGTCTAGAGCTTAGATAGTGACTTTTATGAGATCTAGAGGAGGATCCTTACGGTTTGCTCTCAAAACGTGAGGAAGACAAAGTTCTTGTTATCTCTTGTAATTAAGTCGATTCCTCTCTCATCCCATGGACATAGGCTATAGCTGTACGACATTAACTCATTGTCCTTGCATTGTTTTACTTTTCTACGAGATTTGTCAATATTGATTCCGCTTGTGTGCGAATTTTTCTTAGAGGTCTCTCTTTGCATGGTTGCCTTGTGTCGGAGTGGATCTAATTTGGTTTGTTTGGTCGCTTCTGTATCGTTGATTTCCCCAACAATCATAGTATATATTTAAGTTGTACAAAAATCACAATGGAAAAAAACAAAGGTGTCGATGTGTCATTGACCTTTATGTTTGGTTCAAAATAATATAGTTTGGAGGGTTTCAGACTTCTATTTTCTGCTCATGATAACTAATATTGGGTGAACCATTAAAAGTCCTACAGTCTAATATATTGTGAAAACTGAGAACATGGAGATTTACTGTTTCTTTCTGTGGTGAGAGTTGGGGTTATTTTTGTGAAGGATTCCAATCAGACATCAAGAAAATTGAAAGTACATATAGTAAGACTTGAATAAGACAAGCCTTCTTATTTTAAAGAGTATAGTTTCCAAGCAATATCTAATCTATTAGAAAGGATGCCATTGCAACTTGCAACTCGGGCAAATACTTAGAATTTTTTTTCCACGGAATAATTATTAGTTATGGTTATAGAGGTCGTTTTTTGTGTCTTATATATATAGTTGTGAGATAATTGGGCGAGTTGAGATTTATATGATATCCTAGTCTTTATAACCGAAAGTCATTTTTTCTGTTCAAACTATATATATTCAAATTCAGCAGTAGAAAACTCTAATCCTTTCCCTGTTTCCACACATGCATAAATAGAAATAAAAAAGAAATATGAGGCCAATTTTACATAGATTAGCAGTACCTAGAAGGAATTCAAGACCCACTAGCCCTACATAGTTTCGTCCTTAGGAGGAGTGTAGAAGTAAGTAGGAAGCTACTTATTGTTTAATGCTTTGATGGCATTGATGCATAATTACAATGTTTATCAACTTAAAAGATAATCATTTGCATAATTACAAGGACTGATAGCACCTTTGCCTATTTGTGAATTGTTGGGCGCAGAGTCATGCCCTCACGCCGCGGAAGCGATATCACCCGAGAGAAAGCCTTGGATTTTGTTTTCACAAAAGTTCAAGCCAACCTCTATATTCGTGTTTCGCGAAGGAAACAAGAACAGAAGTGAAATATCTCAGCAAAGTGAGATATACACTTCCTTTCATCAGTTCTAGGACTGACTTGTCGATGGCACCTACAAGTAATGACAAACACATAGTTAAGACAATACAGACGCGCGATTTACGTGGTTCGGTAAACTTGCCTACGTCCATGGGAGGGGGTAAGGGGGATTTCACTATGAGGAGAATACCAACTCCACTTGTACAACTCATAAACTATTGTACAACTCATAAGCTATCTCTCTCTCTCTGAATTTTCTCTCTTGAAAATCTCTCTAACTCCCACTCTTTCTTTTCTTCCTCCACACATTCTCTCTCTCTGAATTTTCTCTCTTGAAAATCTCTCTAACTCCCACTCTTTCTTTTCTTCCTCCACACATTCTCCTCTCTTCCTCCCTTCTATTTATAAATCTCTCTAACTCCCACTCTTTCTTTTCTTCCTCCACACATTCTCCTCTCTTCCTCCCTTCTATTTATATAGGCAAAGAAGAGGGGACAAGAGAGCATGGGTGAGCATGGGCATTGACAAGAGAGCATGGGCAATGAGCATGGGCAATGGGCATGGGGAGCATGGTGGGCATGGGGTGTCCACCATCTCTTGTCCCCCCATCCCTTGTCCTCTCTTGTTCACATGAATTTAGCAAATTGTGGTGATTAATTGAAGTTTCGTTAGATAGCAAACAAGCAAGTGCTATTTCTTTCTTGTGGCATGTTACAAAATTGAGCACTACAGTTGACATTGTTTTCCTCTGACCAAGATCTCTCAGGCATCTAATTATTTGTAGAATTATCAGTAGTTGATGTGGCACTGTTATCAAGATGATTGTGATTGTGCAGCGTGTTAGTTTCATTGAGTGGTAATTTGCAGGTTGGTTTTGGTTGTAATGACTAGGGACACTAATACTAAGAGATGGATGGATTTAAAATACTTCCTCCAATTATTAACTACAAAGTTAATATTATTGTTCTCGGTAGTAGGGCCACCTCACTTGCACCTGTTTCTAGAGATTATATGATGATCCGACATATATAGAGCTCTATAGAATTGTAGATTGCTGACATGTATAATCTTTTTTATGCATGTAAGAAAATCTAGGAGCATGTACACTTCTAGAATGCAAGCAGCATGAATTGATTCCTCCAGCCGTAGCATGAATTAAGTACTAAATTCTAGTGGGGAATTACACACGAGTATATAAACCACTTAGTCAACAGAAAACTATATGCTAGTTAGTCAAGGTTTTTGAGTTATATAATTGTATGGTTATTATGAAACCATGATCCTCAGAGGCATCACGAGAAGACAAACATCACCATGAGCATAAAAGTTGAGTTATATATTATAAGGGAGACCAATCAAGTCTCCTTGGGTGGATTCTCCTCAGAACATTTGGCTAATAAGCTTATTTGTAGCAGAGGGTGTAAAAAAGAACATGAGAAGTCACAGTTAGATCCTATTCCCATGGATAATAAAGGCCGAGCATTTACAGTGGAGACCACTTACAGAAAATTTTCAAGGGTTCAGATCCATTATTCAACCCATAGCCTTTGTTTTACTTGGGGAAGGCTTAATGTTTCAATCTTAGCAGAAGTTACATCCCTGGCTTTTAGAGCTTGATCTGTCCACCAGAAAGAGTAATATAGAAAACAAACGACAATAATCTGGATTATTTGGGGATAAATTTGGATTCTTTTTGGTTTTTTATTTTTTTACTGTATTTCATTTCATTTGACTATTTTTTGTTGGTACTAATTATAGAATGTTTTCAACAGCTGAAAATAGTCTATAGGCCCGGGAAATGTTTCAGTCTTCGTGATTTTCATCATGCTGTCAACAATATGCCTATGAATTACATTCTGCCCAACAACTCAATACCTACTGAAAACAGTCAAGGTAATTGCGAAATACATGTAGGTTATGCTGATTTGGTTGTTGTCTCCAAAAATGTTCACAACTATGCTAGTTTTTTGATCAGATTCTTATTGAGTTGAATCACTGATGCATTTTAAAAAAGTTATTTCTTTTTGGCAAGCAGAGGTGTCATTGACGTGCCTCTTCAGTGAAAAAGCATTGTATGCATGGGGTGGCGATGATATCACAAAGAAAGTGATTGCTGTGTCAACCACTGGGTTTACAAGCATTGGTGCTTTCCAGAAGTCTCTAATGGTGTAAAGGATGCACTGCTTGATTCACTATCCTACATATAAACTCTACTATATCAGTTCTGAAATTATTAATTTTGGCTTGTTGACTGCTACTGTTTTGACAGGATGCAGCAGAGCACTGTGTTACAGTAGAGTTTACTATATTGGAGCAGAAAGATATGAATCTATATAGTGGGACATCTGAGAAACTTACTGAATTTGTTAATAGCATCCATGAGCTTGAAAACTGTGTTCTCCACAGGTATCTTCCTGGTAAGGAAGTTGCATAAAATCTTCAACAACCTCAAATGTCTTTCATTCAGCTCAATATATGTTGAAATTACATAATTGTCTAGGATATTAAGCTTGACTGTCAGATATATTTCCTTAAGAGCCTATTCTTCATCTTTGGGGTCTTCATGCAAATCTTGTGAAGTTTAGAACATTGTTTTGCCATGATTGGGAAGTGGGATAAACTTCCTTGTAACATTTCATACTTAGGTGGATTAGAACATCTCAGAATATCATCTATAGGATATCTGATACGTTGTCTTTGACTTCTATCTGCATACAAATTTTATAAAACAATAACGGAGAAGAGTACCTGTGTCAAAGTGTATGCTTTACGTAGTATTTATCCTGAACATGGTTTATGAATCCCCTGAACCAAAACAATTTTTTTGTCAAATTGCAGATAGTTGGCTGTTGTGTGGCCTTGTAAAAGGATGGTTGCAAGAGCTAAGGAATGACATAGAGGAACCTCTACAAGCTATGTTTCTGTTCAAGAACACCGTTGGAAGGTCTATAAAACAACTCTCTTGCAACTTGTCTGCCTCCTCCGTTCAGATCATTGATGGTTTTACACCATGTCAGGTAATACAAGTGACAAGGATAATTGGAGTCCCCATTTACAATATTTTCTATTCTGTTTGTCTAGTTAAAATCCTATGAATTATTTTTCAACTATGTCGTCAAGAATATGTTTGTCCGATTTCCCTTCAAATTTTTGTAAATACGTATGCTGTTGTTAGTTTCAGTAGCATTCAAATGACAAAGAAAATATCACCTTTCCACCTAAATGCTTTCCTTTGAATGCTTGCTTCTTTGACTAAGAAAGTTCCAATTCATTGATAAGTTACCCTCATTTATTAGATGTTTTTTTAGATATTAGTCCCTTAAATCATAGGTATTTTGATATTAGTCCCTCAAATCTTCATATTTTGATACCCAAATTATCTTAATGTGTTGTTATTAGTCTCTCCAGTTAGTTGGTGTTAAACGGGGTTCGGAATATTCTGTTTTCCTGTAATTTTTTTCTTTAATGGACAATTATACCCCTCTCCTCTCTCCTGTCAGGCCTCCTCTTCCTCATCTCTGCACTCAACCACCACAGCAGCTCCCTCTCTGCCCTCTCCCTCCACCATTGCACCCACTTCAATGTCTTCACAATTCTATGAGGTTGCGGTGGAGAATTTGGTGTTGGTGGTGCAGAATTTGGAGGAGATGGTTGTGAGTGATGGGAGGTGGAGGCAGTGGAGATGAGTAATGGGGAGGGGTGGTGGGAAATGGATAGGTAGTGGTCGTTGTAGGATTGGTAGTTGATGGGCTCAGGATAGCGTTTTGACAGGTTAGCGGTCGACCGTGAGGTTTTGACGGTCGACCGTGTTCGTGCACAGGGCTCACTGTGCGTCTGGACCTTTGGCGGTCGACCGTGACGGTCGACCGTGGTTTTCTCTAGAGTTGGGGGATGTTCCTGGAGTTGGGACGGTCGACCGTGACGGTCAACCGCGATGCCTGCGCGGTCGACCGTCACGGTCGACCGCCGAAACGGTTTGGGCAGAATCTGGGTTTCAGACCCATTTCGTTTGGGGCTTTTATAAATACCGATAACACGATTCTAGGGTTAGTAAGGCAGGAGTTTGAGAGCTGAAAGGGGTTTTTCCTTTGGGCTTCTATTCTAGGAGCAATTGGAGAGATTGAGAGTTGATTTGTTGATGGTTTATGAGAGATTTGTAACCCTAGTTTGTTCCTCTTAATTTCTAATAGTAAAAACTCCCCCCTCCTTGCCCCGTGGACGTAGGCCATTGCCTAACCACGTAAAATCTGGTGTATCTTGATTGTTTGTGCTATCTTTGGTGTGTTGTTTATCTTCTCTCGGCGGTTGTTTGGATCTCGGCACATAGCATAGGGGTTCCTCCCTAACAAGTGGTATCAGAGCTCCGGGCAACGCTTGGGCTTTTTTTGGAGGAGTAGATCGGTTGGGAAGTTCATCTAGAGTTTCGATTGGTGATAAAAATAGAATCTTTGTGGTAAAAATTCTATCTTTGTTCAAGTTGGATCTATTTCTTAATTGTTTCCGCAATTATTATTGGGTGTTTTGAGATATATGGTCGGAAAAGATAAAAATAGGGAGGGTTCTTCTAGTGTAAAGACCGTCCAAAGTTTGAGTATACATTCTATGAAAATAGATGTAGAAAAGTTTGATGGCACAAATAATTTTAGACTTTGGCGATGCGAAGTCTTGGATGCGCTAAATGCGTAAAATTTAGAAGATACGTTAGAGTTGGACGGGAAACCGGACGACATTGATGAGAAGGTTTGGAAGAAAATGAATAGAACGGTGTGTGGTGTGATTAAATCTTGTTTGACTCAAGATCTAAAATATGATGTGATAAATGAGAGTTCTGCAAAGAAGATTTGGGAGGTCCTAGAGGGTAAATATTTGACGAAGAACATCAAAAATCGCTTGTATTTGAAGAGGAGGCTTTACCGTTTTTAATTAAAGAATGGGACATCCATTAATGATCACATGAACCACTACACGAAGCTACTTACAGATTTAACGAATGTAGATGTCATTGTTGAAGATGAGGACAAGACGTTGTTATTGTTGAGTTCCTTGCCCGACGAGGAATATGAGACCTTCGTCCTCATTCTTATTAATGGGAAGACATCTCTTTCATATAGTGAGGTCATCGCGGCTCTTGTGAATTATCGACTTCGTAAGAAGGACAAAGAGACTTCCATTGAGCCGGTAATGGGGGCATTGGTTGCAAGAGCTAGAAGTTCAAACCATGGTAGAATGTCGCAGTCTAGAGGGGGACACCCTACAGTTGGTAGGAATCAGTGTGTCTTTTGTAGAGAGGATGAACATTGGAAAACCGAATGCCCAAAATTACAAACTGGGAAGAATAAGGGGAAAGCTATTCAAGCTTCAGAGGTGAATGTTGCCAAGGCTAGTGGTGACGTTTCAGATTCGGATTCTTCGGGCTATTCGTGCCCAGCTCTTCCATCAATTGGTGTTACCGACTCCACCGAGTGGATGTTAGATTCATGTGCTACTTATCACATATGTCCTAGGAGAGATTGGTTCTCTAATTTTTAGGAGTTGGAAAGAGGGGATGCTATTCTTATGGGTAATGATCACAGATATCCTATTGGTGGTATTGGTACCGTTCAGATTCGGACGAGTGACATGATGATTCTGGAGTTGGTTGATATGAGGTTCGTTCCTCAACTGAGGAAGAACATCATTTCACTTGGGGTATTGGAGGCAGCAGGCTATAGGGTGATCTTGGCGGATTCTCGCTTGAAGGTCATATTAGGATCCATGATTATGATAAAGGGCGTCAGAAGGAGTAACTTATATTATCTGCTTAGGAGCACGATAATTGATAGAGCCCTGACGACTTCTTTGGCTAGACTGTGGCATTCTTTGATGCTGGGGTATATGATTGGCTATGTCATGCACAGATTGTTGAGGAGTGCTATGACCTGTAGGGTGAAGTTCTTTGAGCACATTAGGATGAGCGAGAAGACCAAGGTGGAGTTTAGCACTTCTATCCACCAATCGAGGGGTCTTATTGGAGATGTTCAGTCAGGCATTCGGGGGCCTTCCATGGATGCATCATTGAGAGGTAATCGTTATTTTATTTCCTATGTTAGGGATTGTACTAGACATTTATGGGTTAGAACTAAGCCCCGTTGGTATGAAGCCTTAGTAGTCCCCCAATAGTTGGAGGAGGTGTATGAGCAGAAAGTTTACCCGTCGTACTAGTTCTAGTAGGGATTTTTTCTTGCATTTGTGCCATGCTCATGGCAGTTAGAGACACTTCAGAGGAGAGGAGACAGTGGGGCGACGTGATGAGATGGTGAATTTAGTGGGTCGTTCTTTTCTGGAGGAGGATCGGTATTGGTTGTCGAACAGTGGATTTGGTATTCGGGCTTCGACACGTTTGGGCTATCTTATGAGGTTGCCGACTGCTACGTGTAGAGTTGTTAGATCTGGTGGAGCTGTTTTAGATTTTGGTTGGCGTCGGATATTTGGCTACTCAGCACTTAGTCACATCGTGGATGTGAGATTGGATCTGATTGCATGATTAGGATTCAGAGGCTCTTTTGGCTATCAGTTGAGGGCTTCTGAGTTTGGTCTGAGCAGGTATGTCACTTTGGACTCTCGGCAGATAGAGAGTATTGATCAGATCAGTGGGATATCGCAGCGGGTGGAGGATGATGCTACTCCACATTGGGTAGAGCTTACTCCACATACTCCAGGTCATTCTGTATTATTTGGGATTCCAGCTGAGGTGACACAGCGTGGGAGTCATTTGGATTCAGATGCTAATGATGAGTTGGTAGATCCGAGTGCAGCTGGTGGATATAGCTTGGATACGACCATTGGTTCACCTCAGGTGGAGGTGTTTGGATCGTTTCAGTTTGGGACCGTTGGTGATGCTATCAGTCGTACATTGGATGTTGGTATTGGTGAAGATTTGAGAACTCTTCTTTTGGATTGAGGGCCTTTGAAGGCCATTGGGTGAACTACGTGAATGCTTGATTCCTTGGAGAGAATACGTAGGCAGTCAGTGTTGATGCAGCCAATTTGGTGAGTAGACACTGTTGATTTGGGGTGAGTGTTCGCACTCCCGTTTGGATCTCGACTTGTTGTGGATGGAGTCCATTGTCATGAGTCCGTTGTTATGACGCACTGGACGTAACAAGTGAGTATTTGGTGTGGTTGGTGTTGGCTCAGTTTGGTAGAATCTTCGTCGAGGTGGAGATTTGTAAGATTGGCAGTTGATGGGCTCAGGATAGTGTTTTGACAGGTTGGCGGTCGACCGCGAGGTTTTAGCGGTCGACCACAGGGCTCACTGTGTGTCTGGACCTTTGGCGTCCGCTGTGGGCGGTCGATCGTGGTTTCTTCTGGAGTTGGGGGCTGTTCCTGGAGTGCAGTCGACCGCGATGGATCGCGATTGACCGTCACGGTCGACCGCCGAAGCGGTTTGGGCAGAATCTGGGTTTCAGACCCGTTTCGTTTGGGGTTTCTGTAAATACCCAAAACACGATTATAGGGTTAGTAAGGCAGGAGTTTGAGAGCTGAAAGGGGTTTTTTTTTGGGCTTCTATTCTAGGAGCAATTGAAGAGATTAAGAGTTGATTTGTTGAGGGTTTATGAGAGATTTGTAAGCTTAGTTTGTTCCTCTTGATTTCTAATAGTAAAAACTCCCCCTTCTTGCTCCGTGGACGTAGGCCATTGCCGAAGCACGTAAAATCTGGTGTATCTTGATTGTTTGTGCTATCTTTGGTGTGTTGTTTATCTTCTCTCGGTGGTTGTTTGGATCTCGGCACATAGCATAGGGGTTCCTCCCCAACAGTCGTAAGCAAGATGGTGGTGTGGTGATGACTGGACACAATAGAGTTATACTGGTGGTGATGGAGAAGGTGGTGATGGTGACAATACTAGTGGAGGTGGTGATGGTGGAGGACGTGAGATTACCAGCGGAGGAGGGGATGGTGATGGAGGAGGAGGTGAGAAAGAAAGAGGAAGAAGGGGAGGGGGTAATAAGGTAATTCCCCAACCATGGTCAGTGTAACCCAACCATGGTTTAGGGTCTTGAACTGTAAACCGAAAAGGACTAATATCAGCTCATTAGGTAATTTGGGGGTCTAATATCAAAATATGAAAAGTTGAGGGATTAATATCAAAATACCTATAATTTGAGGGACTAATATCTAAAAATCCCTTATTAGATATATTAATTAATTTGTATACAATTTTGTTTTGCATGTTCTGATCCATATTTCTTTGTACTGATTGAGCGTACTTTTGATTTTGATGTGGCTGAAGTGCAGGGTGCTGTGTAGTTAGAAGTGTTAGTATTTGTTTGTTTAAAAAAACAAGATAGTCCCACATTAGAATTTTGAATATTCTTTTAGAGGTTTAAAAGCATTGAATGCTTATTGGGCTTTGAATAATGGATCAAAGTGTAGGTTTCTAAACCCGCGTGTGGGTAGCGCGAATAATGCGTGATTGTAGGCTGTCTAAAAATCACAATGGATAGCTAATCCCTATCAAGCCCTGATAATGAAAGTTACAATCAGACGACTTTCTAATCACTGCATCCGCAACTCTGCAACCGCTATAAACACGGCCTCATCTCTGAGATGATTGATCTTGATGGCTGCGACAACAGCATGACTAATATTACATTAGCAACTATTAGAGATGCTGATGAGCAGTGTAATGATTTCAGAAATAAAAGGTTGGACTTAGTTGGTGAGTCGCTTGGTAGAGAGCTGTGGGCAAATATCCACCTTCAAAACACTATGGATGTTGATTCCCGTCAAGCTCTCACAACGAAAGCTACAATCAAATAGCTTTCGGGTCGACAGTCGGAAGGGGCAAATAGGAGACTTTTCACACAGATCGAGAAGAGTTACAATTTGACGACGCTTCCGACAGCTGATGAAAACCCTATTCAGTGGCCTTCACGATCGTTGGTGAGAGTTACAATCTGACGACTCTCATATCTTATAACAGGCAAAGACCAATAAACAATGGCCTTCGCAATGTCATGGTAGACGAGGTTACAAGTCAACAACCTCTATCAAACGTAGAAGTTTAATTCTGCGTTTCTCAAATTCGAAACGCACACAACTTGTGCGTTCTCCAGCGAATGTCTAACTCTGCAACGCAGAGTTCAAGCACCAAACGCACACATAACGTGCGTTCTTCAATAGGTTCAACTACGTGTCCCAAACTCTGGACGCAGAGTTAAATTTCAACGCACCAACGGCCCGTGTGTCTCAAATCTCTAACAGAGATTTAACTCTGCGTCTCAAGTCTTGGACGCAGAGTTAAAGCCCAGAACGCCAACTGAGGCGTTTTGACTTGTTCAAACGCAAGCCGAACGGCCTCAAAGCCGTTATCCCACGTTCTGAGGGATTCTCGCCCACAAAGGAGCGGAAATAGGGGTTGGTTACACCCCACATCACCCTATAAATAACCAACTTACTCAACTGAGTAAGGGGTTGGTCGGTTGATCGATTTTCTGATATCAAAACTGCATAAGGTTTAGGTGAGCTGGCATCAAAACCGCCTAAGGTCATCAAATCTCAGCAATTTAACGAAGAAGAAGATCTTTTGGAAATCAAAGAACTGATCAACGATCAGTTAATCGAATCCCGAGGGATCCCTTCATCAACAACCTAGTCCACTTGGCAATTAACCGAATCTTCGGTTCCAACAACTCTGTTATAGAGTTTTAACTCACTCTGAGTTTATTTCTGAAACTCATTTCAAGAGTTCGTGATTAAGTTTGCAACCCAACTTAATCTCATTAAACCAAACAGTCGGTTTTCAACAACTCTTGTCAGAGTTCTTAACTCGTTCAGAGTTCTTTATACTCGTCAAGAGTTCTAAACCGAAGTCATCAAACGCTTCAATTGTTCCAGTGAAGAAGGACGGTCGGATCGTCAACGGAGAGCAAGTTCGACGAGATCAATCGAAGGAGGCACTCCATCGCTACCAAGAAGAACCCAGTTTTAAACAAAGGGGAAAACCAAATTCGTTTTCCTCTCTTTTGTAATCGGAATCCAAATTGTAACTGAGTTTGAGAGAAATACAAGTTCGAATTTTTCTTTCATTGTCTTTTTACATCAAATTTCCAACAAACAAAAGATGGCGACTCTGCTGGGGAAAGGCTTCTCTGACGAGGAAGTGGTGGCGCAATCCGACGTCCACCTTACTGGAACCACCGTCGAAACTCTCGTCGTAGAGTTCGACCAAGCCAAGTATGAGGAGGTCCTCTCCTCTGGGTCCCTTAGCCCAAAAGCTAGGCGTGATACCCACAGGACCTCTACGGAGGTCAACACTACTGCTGAGATGCCAAAGAAAGCCCTCTCCTTTGGCCAAGACCTTAAACTCGCTCTGCGAGTTGAAGATTCCTCCCCCGTATCACTACGGCAAATAATAGGTCAAAAAAGACCTATGTCGGAGGAAAGCCCAACCAACGCCGACGATGCCGCGGCCAAGGCCTTGAAACAGGCTAAGAAAAATGCTGCTCGACGAAGGAGAAGATCCTTACGGCGAGCATACTTGCGGAACAGCCAAGCTACTGCACAACGCAAAGACTGCGTTTCTGAGCTTGTGCCCGAACTGTGCGTTTCTGCTCCAGAACGCACACTTCGTGGCAATGAACCCGACTATGAGCCTCGGGTTATTCAACTCAAACGCGACCCTCAGTGGCGCGTTGTTCAACATAGACGCACACCTCAAAAGTGCGTCCCAAAACGTGACCTCCAAAGGCACGTTCAATCATTCAAACGCACGCCACAACCGTGCGTTCAGTCAAAACAAGACCCTCAAGGGTCTGTTCAAACAACCAAACGCACACCACAAGTGTGCGTTCAATCAAAACCCGACCCTCAGGGGTCTGGGTCATCAAACAAACGCACGCCACAAGTGTGCGTTCAATCAAAACCCGACCCTCAGGGGTCTGGGTCATCAAACAAACGCACGCCACAAGTGTGCGTTCAATCAAAACCCGACCCTCAGGGGTCTGGGTCATCAAACAAACGCACGCCACAAGTGTGCGTTCAATCAAAACCCGACCCTCAGGGGTCTGGGTCATCAAACAAACGCACGCCACAAGTGTGCGTTCAATCAAAACCCGACCCTCAGGGGTCTGGGTCATCAAACAAACGCACGCCACAAGTGTGCGTTCAATCAAAACCCGACTCTCAGGGGTCTGGGTTATCAACCAAACGCACATCACAAGTGTGCGTTCCAGCAAAGAACGACCCTCAGGGATCTGTTTCTTCATCTAAACGCACACCACAAGTGTGCGTTCAAACAAAGAACGACCCTCAGGGGTCTGTTTCAACATCAAAACGCACACCACAAGTGTGCGTTCAATCAGGACAAGATCCACAAGGATCTAGTCCATCAATCAAACACAGGCCTCAGCCTCGTGTTTATAAACCTAAACGCGACTCTCGTGTTTCTTATCAAGAGCATGACACGGTCCGTCAGGTTCAAAAGGGACAACATGGATTTGAGATTCATGTTCAACCCATCCAAGGGCAGGGGGTTCCATCTCCACCTTCACGAGATCTTTCTCAGGTCTCCGACCTGCGTGAATTGCTGTCAAGAGGAAAGCCAACACAGCAAGTGGCTCATTCATGCCAGTGTGAACGGCTCATTTCTGCTGTCCTCTCCGAATGCAGTTGTTGCTCATCGACGCCTAGGCAATCGGTGTTTAATAGGTTGACGAATGTCGCTAGACCTGCTAAACGACAGCGTCGCCACAAGAAGAAGACCTCTGAAATTGAATATCCTGAGGTCACCATCAACATGGTCGGCAGAGGCAAATCCTCACATCCTGATTCTGATGAGTCACAAACAAGTCATTCCCCGACTGTTCGGGAAATTTGTGATGAATTTGAGGGAGTCTATAGGCATACTCGGACTCAGACAGGAGCTATTCGCCCGGTTAACTATCAAAAGTTGGCCAAAG